ATATATATATATATATACACTTTTCATTAGAGATAAAATAGAAAGTTTAATAAATTATTTTTAAATTTAAAAAACTATCATCATTTTTGAAACGGACTAAGATAATCAAATTAATCAACAGTAAGGTTAAACTACTATAATATAAATTTAGAAAGATGTAATTAAGAAGTTCATCATAATAAAATTAACTTACCATAATGCTTTGGAGCATGAAACAATCTCTTTGCAGCTCCATAATAATCAGCATATATGATCTTTGCATGAGGATATTCTTCTCTTAATTTCTCAAGGGAGAGTTTAAGCTGAGAATTGTGATATTTAGAGAAGGCATTGTAGGCTTTGAGACATCCATTTTTGTCATATGCTGCTTTGTTTGTAGTGCCAAACAAGGTTAAGTACAATGCTGAGCACCCAATTGGCAAATTCCCAGGAACTATCAATTCTACTGCTCCTTCCTCTATCAATACCTAATTAAGAGCAAATTATGAAGGAAAAAGTTAAATAATAAGGTTGGGTGAGTCAAGACCTCATTTACATAGAACATCATGTATTCAGACAAAGTCCGAAAAAAGATTGCATGTTAAGGGTGTAATGTAGCAGGGGCGGATCCAGCTTTAAGGTTATAGGTTCCTGTGAATTCAATAACTTTTGTACAAACACATTTGTATTAAAAAACTCACTAAATATCTATAAATATTTGACTGAGAATTCAATTATTATTATACATATATAACTCAAAATCGTTGTAGGAATTCATAAATTTCAAATCCTGAATCCAACTCTATGATATAAATAACCTACCTTGATTCAAGAATTAATGACTGCTTTCACGGTTCAAACCCGTCTAAGACCTCATCATATTTTGAATATTAAGGTTGGATGGCCTAGGCCAATACACAAAAGTTGAAATGGATTCTTTAGGCTATAATTTACTTTTTTAATCTATAATGAAAGTAGAGTGAAAGCTTACACTTGTTGCTTCAATAATTGTTTCAACTACTGCTGGTACAAGAGCTTTAAGTTGTTTAATGCTTCCACCAACAAAGTAGGGGTAGTTATAGTCATTGCCTCCAATCTCTCCCACTATAAATAGTGATTTTTTAAAGTATTCTCTACAATCTGCAGGTCAAAATTAAAAAGAATTAAAAAAACACAAAGGAAAATTAAGAAAAGCTATGAAGAATTAGTCTAAATAGCAGCCGACCTAACAGCCTAAATTAAAAATAATTTGACAGATGTATAATATATTTATAATCCATGTATGAATGTGCATAATCGGGTATTAATCGGTGTATAAGTTATTTTTGCTGATTGCAAAAAATAAACAGTGATTTCGACCTGCTATATTTGTGTAGCAATCCTACAAATTATAGTGTTATTTTTTAGCTCAACTCTTTTTTTATTATGCTATTTTTACCAAAAAAAAACAATAATTTATTTTTCAAACTTATAGCAACTGATTTTGAAAGCTTGCTAAAAACAACCAGCATTTGCAAAAGCTCAAACAAATTTTTGCCGGTCCAATTTTTTGCAAAAATAACCAAACGCCACAATATCATGGCTAAATTAATAATCGTCATTACTATACCTTTTCTCGTGGCACAAATGTTAGACTTCACTTCCTGAAACCATCCCACCTGGTCAGTTAATGAAATATTTGTCCATAAAACTGTAATATTCTTACTATAAAAATACTCAGCAGCAATTGCAGTAGCTCCAGCAATCGCAAAATTCACTCCATGTTCGGCTTTTACGCCATTTTTCAGTGCCAAATAGGGTGGAAGTAATGGCAATCCATACGCCTCCGCTACATTTAGTAGAATGAAAATAAATGTCATTACTTTTAAATTAGTGGCGGAACTAGAAATTTTACTATGAGATTAAAAAAAAACTTTTACACTACACATCAACCCAACAAAGCCCACAACAAAAAGATAACCCTAATCTTTAATTTTTACAAAGTTTAGCCAGTATAATCGCGGTATAATATGTGTATAGTCAGTATGTATATATTATATACTTATTATACATGAAATATACACCAGCGGCAGCTACAAATGATTATGGCTAGACAAGTGAAAATATTTCTAGCCGCCCAGCTAAAAATGTTAAGATTGCAAGAATGTAAGACCTAAAATTCGCCTATGCTATATATAGTATTTAAGTATTGGGCAGTCGGGTGCACAAACTATTCCACATTTACATACTGTCCAGGAAAGGACCGCACCTCAAGAGATGAGACGTAGACAATGCCCTAATTTAACAAAATATCATTGCCTTCAAACAGTGGTGGGGCTAAAATATTTAACAGAATATTAAAAACAAATACAAAAATATCACACTTGAGATTTGAACCTGCGACCTAAAAGATTATTTGGGACAGATTTACCAATAAAGTAGGAAAGGATAGCTTCCTTACGTGAAGGAAGTCAATAACTTAGAAATATACAAAAAAAAAAAAA